ACCACCTAAGGGCCTCATTTATTAACCTAATCACCTCTGAAGAGGCCCTATCTCCAAACACAGTCACATTCTGAGATACTGGGGTGTCGGCTCCAACATATGCATTCTGAGAACACAATTTATCCCACACCAGGTAGCTTACAACTTGTTTTTTTTCACTTAACAGTAAATACATCCTAGCATCACTGCATCGCGGTTTGGATCGTTTCTCTGCTATTTTCTACATCTACAAAAGACTCATTTTGTGACCACACCAGTTTATTCAACCAGTCTCGTGGACATCTGATGGACATTTGGTTTGTTAATCTTTTGCATTACAGAGTGTTGGCAATAACTAACTTTGTGCATATGCCTTTTTGTATTTTTGTCATTAGATCTTTGTGATAGATTCCTAGAAATGGAATTGCTGGGTCAAAGGGTAAATGAAAATATTTAATTTGGCTTGATATTGCCAAATTGCCCTCCACAGAGATTCACACTACCAGAAAATGTACAAGCGTGCCTATCTCTCCCCAGCCTCGCCAGCAAAGTATGCTGTCAAACTTCTGGATTTTTGCTAATCAAAAATGGTAAGAAATGGTATCTCAATGCATGTTAGACTCGCAGTTCTCTTATGATGAGCGAGTCTGAACATGTTTTCCATGTTTAAGGGCCCTTTCATTTCAATTTTGTGAACAAAAATTTCTTGGAGATTTTGATACGAATTGCAAAAACTTTTTTCCAAGTTTGTCCTTTGTCTTTTAAATTTTCTTACGGAGCTTTTCCCCCCTGCATGCTCCATGCTGTTTGGGTCAAATGGAGCAAAATTTACCAGTCTTTGACCTCACTGTTTCTGGTTTTTGAGTCATATTTTGTAAACTTTTTCCATTTCTAGGTTATAAAGGAATTCATGCTTATGAATTCTACTGCTACTTCCAAGTTAGCAATTTTATTTTCAAAACTTTTCCAGCTTTATTAAGGTATGATTGACAAATAAAAATTGTATTTATTCAGGTTTCACATGACTTAAGGTGCACACGATGATTTAATATATGTATGCATTATAAAATGATCACCACAGTCAAGTTAATACATCCATCACCTCACATAGTGACTGTGTGTGTGTGTGTGTGTGTGGTGAGAACACTTAAGATCTACTCTCTCAGCACATTTTAGCCTACGATACAGTACAGATCTCTGCTGCCTCCTTACCATAAACCATGAGGCTATCACTTAAACTAAACCTTCCTGCTGTCTATGTTAGTTTTGCTTCTTCTCTTGGTTACCTTTGAATTTACATTTCTGTTTCTTTTTAAGAACTTAAAAAAAGTATATCTTGAACCCCTAATTTGCAAGATGATAATTTTAAAAACAGCCATAGTGCTTACAGGACAGAGCTCTGATTCCTTCTCTTTCCTCTGGCGCCTCCTGTAGATGCTTCCTAATACTACAAAATATCCTTTTCCTTACACCCCATTGTTGCTTGAAATCACACTTACTAAAGTTTGCTTCATATTCGCTCCAAAACTCTTGCATTCAGACTTTTCTTTGGAATGGTATAGAATGACCTTTCTTTTTCTCCTGTTTTTTTTTTTTTTTAATTAATTAATTAATTAATTTGGCTGTGTCGGGTCTTAGCTGCAGCACGTGGGATCTTCATTGCCGCATGCAGGATCTTTAGTTGCGGCATTCAAACTCTTAGTTGCGGCATTCAAACTCTTAGTTGCAGCACGTGGGATCTAGTTCCCTGAGCAGGGATCGAACCCGGGCCCCCTGCACTGGGAGCATGGAGTCTTAGCCACTGGACCACCAGGGAAGCACCTCTTTTTCTTCTCATATGGCACATCTTCCATTTGCTCAATCATAGGTCTTTTTGTTTTTCCCTCCAGAGACCTCCTCCCTGGAGCACCCTTCTCTTGCTCAAATTTGGCCTGATTGCTCTTCTAGGCTGACTGAACAGCTATAATCAGAGATTTCTAGGGCACTCCTCTCCTGTGCTATTAGACCCACTGTGTCCTGGATTCTCAAGCTTACTTCCTCATTTTGCTAGAGTGTATCTCCCTCCAGTAATATTAAAAAACCAAAAAACCAAAAAACACATCTCTTGAGTGTCTTTCACAGTAATTGAATTTGGCTGGATACAGAATATTGGGCTTAAATTAAGTTTCCTTCAAAGCTTTAAATGTCCTGTCGAATTCTCTTTCAGTATTCAGACTGCTGTCAAACTTGATACCACTCCGATCCTTGTTTCCTGGTAGGAAAAGTCCACTGTTTTCATTATCCTTATTGTTCAGTTTCACGCTGACATGTCGAAGTTGTGGTCTTTTCTCTTGGTCCTAGGAATTCAGTAGGACCTTTTAACTTGAAGACTCTTTTCTTCAGCTCTGGGAAACCCTCCCTTTTTTTCTGATAACTTCCTTCCATTCCATTTTCTCATTCTGAGACTCCAACGAAGTCTCCTAGATTGGTCTTCCATGTCTGTTCTTACTAGTCTGTCGTTCTCTTGTCCTCCCTTAACTTTCCTTAACTTTATTCTCTAGTCCGACTACCGAGTTTTATATATTTTTACAAACCTTCTTTTCTCTGCTCTTTTTTCATAGCATCCCCCACTTCTTAGTTTTCTGCAGATAATATTTTCTGAAATCTGAGTATATCAGAATATTTACTTTCATGAAGTTTCTTTCCATTTTCTGAATAACCTTTCTCTCTGGCGGTCAGTTTTTCAATCTTACTAACATTGGTCTTTGATGCTCTTGGTTCTACTCAGTTATCTGACTCTTACTTAAGAAGATACTGGCTAAACTGGTAATGGGTTTCCTCTGCTTTCCAGCTCAGCCTCTTTCTTGCATGGGAATTCTACCAGGAACTCTGTGCAACGCAGGGCAGGGCAGATGGAGAGGGTCAACCGCAGGCTTTGCTTTAGGGAAACGAGCTGGCTGTCCAGACTGTGGGACCTTCCAAATGCCAGAATGAGAACATTCAGGTGACAACCCCTGTTCTGAGCTTCAGGATGGGACAGGGAGTGCGGGGCAAACCGGCGCAAATTGTTTCACATACAGGACTTCAATTAATCCGTTTCCACTACCACTTCGCACTCTCAGCACCACTGGACCTGCCAATACTGGGCCCAGGGTTCCTCGGGATTCCCATAAGCAGGCTGGCTCTCCCTCCCTCCCAGCACATTCTGGGCTGTAAACCCTTCCCCCTCTTTTATCTGTCAACCCGCTCCCATCTGCTTGTCTTCCAGAAATTCACTGAGGGCTGTTTTCGGTTGCTGAATACCCCTCCTCACCCCCTTCCTCTTCTCATCGCTATTCTAAGCCTATTCCTTCTATTACATCAATTATTTTGGCTCAGTGGGGTCCTGGGAGGGGTTGGGGCAAAACTTAATGGTCAACCCTTCTTGAACTTTCTGGCTATTAGTTTCATGTGAAGAAGTAGGTGGACCTTCTTCGTAACAGTGTTTTGTAGAGAGCAGGAAGGAACCCAGTCTCTAATGCCATGATCTAAGACGTATGCATATTTTCAACTGATGTGTATTTTTTTTCAGCAAGAGGATCTTTCAGAGGAGTATGTGACCTAAAGAAGAAACTGAACCAGGACAACATCCGGTTTCTTCCGGCTCTGCCGACTTGGGGATGTTTGTGCAGTGTTTAAACCAAGTGAGGCAACGCTTTTTGGTTCATGAATCAGGAGGGAAATTTGCTGTTTTGGGTGGATGTGTGCTGGGGTGAAATGGGTAAGTTTGGTTTTGGAAATGCTGAGTTTTGAGATGTTTGCAGGGTGGTCTAAGAAAAGATGCCTAGTAGGTAGTTGAACCTATGTTAACAGGTGGGAAAGATTTGGGAGCTGTCAACCGTGCTGCATATGAAACCACCCAGAAAATAAAGCCATTTCCAAAGACAAAGAGTAGAACTCTGGGTAACATAAACATTTAGGAATGGGCAGAAGAAAACAAATCTTTAACAGAGACCACAAAGGACAATTCTCAGTTATGTCAAATGCTGTGAACAAGACCTCTAAGGATGCACTGGATTTTAGTCACTAGGTTATTAAATGCCTTGGAAAAATAATGAAAGTGAAGTGGCAAACTGGTGGCAAAAGAGGCCTGACTTCTAATAGTATCTGAAACAGTGACTCTGTGGCAGCCTCTGTGGGTCTCTCCAGCAACAGTGTGGGATGGGAAAGGGGATAATGGTGCATTAATCCAGGGTGGGAGCAGAATGAAAGGGATGAAGACCCAAGATAATGGACAAGAGTGTTGAAAACAGCTGAAGACAGCTTAGGATGAATAAGGAAACACAGGAAGTTAAAGGATCTCTGAAAGCTGAAGAGTTAATACTAGAAGAGGCATGAGTAAGATGGCATGAGAACACTGGATGGATAGGAGGCTGGGGTCCGAGAGTGGGGAGACATATAAGTGTGTATTATTAAAACTGGGAAGGTCTTGGATACCAATAAGCTGTCGGGTATGGCAGGGGATGGTCCAGCTCAGTGAAGCGGAGGGCAACACCAGGACCTGGGTCAAGGTGCTAGATCTGCTATCCACAAAGAGGCGGTGACGTCATGAGCCGGCACAGGCCTCTGAGTGTGGAGGAAGACAGAGCTAGTTTCTAAATTCTTCCTGCAATACGGGGAGAACATCCAACCAGCCACTGGCAGTAGCAAAGTCAAACAAGAGGCAGATGGCACATGCATCCCTAAGAAATCAGAGGATTCCCCAAAGAGGGTGAGGTTAGATTAGATCAGATTCGAAGATAAGAATCAATTCCACGTTTGAGTGCCCATGATTCCCTGTGCTGGGTGTATGTAACCCAATGAAGAAAATGCAAAAAGGGCCCTCGGGTAATTCATAATTGAGTATATAATCTCTTATGGCCCTTTCGATTCTATGATAAGATGATTTCAATACTCTTGGTCCAAGGCCAACTAGGAAAAATTTTGTTTCTGGGTTTTCCTAACCATGCAACAAAGAAATGCACCACTTCTACTCTTTATTACATCTTTAAACACACACTCACCTGATTCTTTCTAGGAAGTGCTCTGTCTGCGCGATTGCTTTCTTGAGACTTCCTCCTATTAATTTTCTTTTCTTTATAAGGCTGAGCTTCTGTATTAAATAAGTTGCAAACACTCTCTTCTGAAAAACTGATCAACTGCTATAAAGAAAATTAAAAGCAGGGCTACCATAAAACAGTCAGTTACATTTTCATGAGTGTCTCTCATATTTCTTTTCCCTTCCCTGCGGATTCTACCATTTTACATCCCATTTCTGCTTAATTCACAAATTCCATTAGAAGTATTTTAACCAAGTCACATTCAAAAGAGGGAAATAGTAATTACTGATTTCTGATCAAACTTTGACCCAGAAGCATATGCACTCTGTCCTACTATTTTATGGAAGAGAAAAAAACAACTTAAGAATCGTTGTTTTAGGTGCAAACTATTATATATAGGATGGATAAACAACAAGGTCCTACTGTATAGCACAGGCAACTATATTCAATATCCTGAGATCAACCATAATGGAAAAGAATATGAAAAAAATATACATATGTATAACTGAATCACTTTGCTGCACATTGTAAATCAACTATAGTTCAATAAAATTTTTGAAAATAAAAAATAAAAAAGAATCACTGTCTTATTCATTCATCAAATATTTATTGAACATCTACAATGTAGCACCTAACTACTGATGGGTTATAGGGGGAAAAATCATGAACCGTCACATTATCTAAGTTTGACTTCTGGGTTTACCATCAACAGTATCAGTGAAAAAAATATCAGTATGCTATATGTTTATGCACTGTGATGCTATAGATAAAAATCCAAGTTCATCTAATTTAATAAAATCGCAAAAGACATGCATTCGATGGGAGTTATGCTCACACTGAAAACAACTGAAGGTAGTTTTTGAAAAAGTTATATTTATGGCACTTTCTGACTGTTAATACATGTGACTCTGGAGAACAAATGTATGGACACCAAGGGGGGGAAAGCCGGTGGGTGGTGGTGGAGGGGGTTGGGATGAATTGGGAGATTGGTATTGACATATATACACTAATATGTATAAAATAGATAACTAATAAGATAAAAAAAGTAAAATTAAATTTAAAAATTAAAAAAAAAAACATGCGACTCTTCTCCACTTTGCACTTCGATATAACTCATAAAACCACACAGATCCCAAATAAACTTTCTAAACAGACTACCTTCCACGTGAAGCACCTCGTTTATTGTATTTTTCTTCTAACAGAATTAATTAAAATCAAATCAGGAAAACAGCATTATCCTGGCTTACATGATAGGTAGGATATGGTATTAGTTCTCAACACATTGATTAAACCAAGATTTAACTGATAAATCATTTGATCATGAAAACAGAGAAAAATCTAGTGCAAGATTTAAAAACAGATACATTGTGCCAAATACAAACACTTACACTTCTTCTGTTAGAGGTCCGCATTGCTCTACCAACTTTACAGGAGGCTATTTTCTCGTGGTTATTTGAAGAGGCAAAGGTATCAGTGCCTGATGAGCAAGACACAGCAAAATTAGGGTAGCTAACAAAAAGCTGTAAGATCCATCATCTACTGGACACACTGGATGCTCTTTTGGATACCAATTTTGCTTTTAGTATCCTACCATATCTGAACATATTACCAGGAGAAATAAATTTTGAGATTTCAAAAACATTTTTAAAAACATGAAAATACTTTAATTTCACAAAGTTCAAAAAATTTTAATTTGGTCACTTTGAACGGTATAAATAAAAGGTAGTATAACCTGTCAAAGAGCATAAGCTTTGGAAGATGACAGGCTATACTTCCAATTTAGCTCTAACTTAACACTCCATGTCTTGGATTCTGTGCTAATGAGCTTGGTTTGTGTCCTAGAGCCAACAAGATGTGTTGGTGATCCATTAAAGGCTTTCGACCAGGGGAGAGACGTGAATAATGGTTCCACTGCAAGTGTTTTGCCTGTGACATTTGCTGGCCAAGTCCTGGTTTGTCAGGAAAGCACAGAGAGATCTTTGTTGCCTTGTCATGATCATAAAAAAAAACTAGAGACCTCAGAAAGTACATATGCACAAAATGCCATGTTGATGTTGATGAACAATTTTGTGTAATCAAAAATGACCCTCAGGATCCATATCATTTCAATTGTGCAACCTGAAAAGGAGCCTACTGTCAATCCTTAAGGGTTGAGAGGGCAACTCCACTACTTGCAGTGACTTGAAAAATGCGGCTACCCATCAGAGGAAGTTAAATGTGGGTGATTATAAAGTATGGACTTGGAATGGAAGGGGACGGGTAAGAGACTTCTTGTAAGCTTTTCTACACGATTTGAGTTTTTGAAAAATCAAGTACGATCATAATAAAAATAAAAATTTTAAAATAAGGTGATTTTCATATATACACATGTTTAAAATGACATTTATGATTTTTAGATAAGCCAAAGTTACTACCTGAAAGAGTCTCAGAGATTGAAGACTTACTAAGAGGACTGAGACCTGCAAATGATACCTGAAGAGGTTCTATGTTTTCCTAAACAAAGAAAAAAGTAGAAATTAGATATCTTTAAATCCAGTGGACATAGAAATAATGTGCCCGTAAGAAAATAATACGTATTTATTTTTGTAGGAGGAACTGTAATAAGCATAAAGATGGGAAATAAAAGATTAACCAAAAAAAGTCAGAGCAAAAACAAGATACTGGATATAAAAATAAATGTTTTATAATATTTACCAATCATATTTAAGGAAACCATGCTTACTAACTACAACCCACCAAAATAACAATTAAAAATATAATAATAATTTTTAAAAAGTGAAAGTAGTCATGATGATCCACTAATAAGTTACTTTTTGGTTTATTTAAAATCCCATACCTAACCCCAGTAAAGTAAGAAAATTCATTAATAAACACAACCAAACATTACAGTATTATTCAGGAGACCTTAAGGGTAAATATAAATGCAGATGTCAAATCTTTTCTTTCCCACAGCCAGTATAATGGTAGCTGTTAATTTTTCATAGATAAGATCTGTCAGGTTGAAAAAATTATTTTTTCTCACCAATTTGCTCAGAGTTTTTAATCTGAAATGAATGCTGGATTTTGTCAAATGCTTTTTCTCCATCTGCTGAGATGACCATAGAGTTTTTCTGTTTTACTCTGTCAATATGGTGAACTCTGCAGATTGGCTTTCAAATAAACCAACCTTGCATTTTGGGGGTAAAATCTCACTTGGTCATAATGTGTTTATTCTCTTTTTCGTTAGTATGTTAGCATGTTTGTGAGGATACTGGACTGTAGTTTTCTTCTCTCATAATGTCTGATTATGGTATCAGGCTACTGCTGACATTGATGAATCGGGAAGCATTCCCAACTCAATTTGTTTGGAAGAATGTAGGCAGAATTAGTATTGTATCTTCCTTAAATGTTTGGTAGAATTCATTAGTAAAATCATCTGCACATGCAGTTTTCTTTGTGAGAAGGTTTAAACTACAATTTAAATTTCCTTAGTTGATATAGAGCTAACGAGACCACCTATTTCTTCTTGAGTGAGATTGATAGCTTGTGTCTTTCAAGGAACGTAGCTTAAGTTGTTGAATTTATTGGCATAAAATAAAGTTGTTCATAATATTCTTTTATGATCCTTTTAGTATTATTAAGATATGTAATTATGTCACCTCCCTTATTCCTTATATTGCTAATGAGTATCCTCTCCTTTTGTCCTGAACAGTCTGATTAGAAGTTTACTATTATTTTCTGCAGCAAAACCTTCTGATTTCAATGATTTGTCTCTATTGTTTTTCTGTTTTCTATTTCATTGATTTCTACACTTATCTTTATTACTTCCTTTCCTCTTCTTAGTTTGGTTTCAATTTGCTTTTCTTTTTCTAGTTTCTTAAAGTGGAAGCTGAGATCATTAATTGGAGACCTCTATTATTTTCAAATACAGGCTTTAATTTTTAGAAATTTTCCTCTAAGCACTGCTTTACCTGCATCCCACGCATCTTTTGTTACTTTATAGTGGCTTAGGATTTACAGCACACATCTTTTAACTTATTCCACTTTGTTTATAGCCTAAGAACCCCTCCCAACCTTTATGCCATGTTAATTTGGTTGTATATCTTACTTACCTAGGTTATAAACCAAACAAAATATTGTTGTTACTCTTGCTTTGAATAATTATCCTTTATGGAGACTAATTAAAAAGAAGTCTGTTACATTTGCCCACATACTTAGCATTTTCAGTGCTCTTCATTCCTCTATGTAGACGCAGATTTTCCTGCAGAACTATTTTCCTTTTGACTAAAGGGCTTCCTTTTCAACACTTCTTCTAATGCTAACCTGTTATGGTAATGAATTATTTCAACTTTCGTTATGTCTGAAAAAGCCTTTATTTCCACCTTTTCTTTTGAAAGATGGTCTCACTAGATAGAGAATTCTAGTTTGACAGGTTATTTTTGGTTTTTTGCTCCAAGTAGTTAAATACATCTTTAAAAGATGTTGCTGCACTGCCTTCTGGCTCACTCACATAGTTTCCAACCAGAAATCTGCTGCCTCTCTCATATTTGTTCTTCTTATGTCACATGTCTTTTTCTCTCTGCTGGCTCCTTTTAGGCCATTCATTGTTGATTTTAAGCTTTGTGTATTTTTCTTTATGTTTCTTGTGCTGGGAATATGTTGAACTTTAGGATCAGTGGGTTAATAATTCTATCAAATTTGGACATTTTTCAGCCATTATTTTGCAAATATTTTTTTCCTGTTCCTTCCAATCTCTCCTCTCCTTTGGGAACCCTAATTACAAGCACTTTATACCACCTGAAGTTGTCCCAGATCACGAATTGTCTGCTCATTCTTGTTCAGTCTTTTTCCTGTGTGTCATTGAGAATAATTTCTATTGCTACATCTTCGAATTCACTAATCTTTTCTCTTGCAGTCTCTAATACGCTATTAATCTCATCCAACATATTTTTATTCCTGGAGATTATAATGTACAGAGTTTGATTTGGGTCTTTTCTTTATCTTCCATGTTCTTAAGAAGCTCAATCCTTTCTCACATTCTTGAACATATATGAAATATAGTTAAAATAACTCTTTCAATGTCTCTCTAGAAATTCTATCATATGTGCCATTTCTGGGTCTATTTCTATTGACTGATTTTTCTCTTCATTATGGGGCATCTTTTCCTACACAAGTGTTAATTTTTAATTGAATGCCAGACATTTTGCGTTTAACATTATTTGTTGCTAGATTGTTTTGTTTTGGTTTGGTGGGAAGGATAAAACCATTTTATTGAGGGCCTTCAGGGGAGGGTTGAAGGGCTGGGAGGACAATGAGATCTGATGCCTTGGCCTCCCTGGGATCTCCCCACCTTCACAGCTGCCAAAAGCAGTTTTGACATTCTTGAGGTTCATTATGCAACGCAGTTACATGGGTATAAGTGAGATCCTTTCAAGGCTTGCTTTTAGGCTTTGCCAGCCTTTTAGTTTAATTCTGCTCCACTAATGAAGCAATATTCTTCTGAGTACCTGACACCCTCTGAATTACAAGGTTTTTCTACATGAGTTGGTGGGAATACAATTCCTGCCCTGTGTGAGCTCTAGGCATTTCCCTCTGCTCCATTTGGGCAGTTCCTCCCTGGCCTGGGGCAGTTTACTCACAAGGATGTGTTGACCAGCACTCAGCTAGAGACTTGACGAGACCCTTTGCAGATCTCCAGAGTTCTCTCTCTCTGCAGGTCTCTTCTCTCTGGTATTTTACCCCTGTGAACTCCAGCCTCCTTCACTTTTCCAGACCCCAAATCCATCTTCTCAACTCATGGAGACTGCCAGGCTCCACCAAGGTATCCCCTCCCTGTGCTGCAGCCTGGAAATTCAGCCCAGGCAGTAAGTTGGGGCTCTCGTAAGGCTTACCTCATTTGTTACCCCCCTCAGAGATTACTGTCTGTACTTCCAGACAGTCAATGCTGGTGAACCACTGTTTCATATCTTTTTCTCTGGCTTTTTAGTTGTTTCTCATGGCAATGTAAATTAGGTCCCTCTTATTCCATCTTGGCCAAAAGCAGAATATTCTTATTTCAAAGTATAACAGCAAGAGAGAGATTGAATGATGGCCCCAATATAAAAATGGGTAAGTAAAACTAATAGGCAGTTCTCAAGAAATTCAAATAGCCTATAAACATGTGAAAATGCTCAAACCTCACTAACAAACAATATTTTCCAGTCATCTTTTCCTCCTATTAAGCTATTTAAAAAAAAAGTACCATTAAAACCCAGGGTTTACAAAGGTGTAATAAATTAAATCATTTATAGTGCTGTGAGTTCAAATTAGTACATACTTTCTGAATAATTTAGCAGTATGTATCAAAAAGTTCAATAAATGTTCATGTTCCTTAATCCAGTAATCCCACCTGCAGAAATTCATCTTAGGAGGAAGAACAATTTATATTTATAATGTATCAATTCTAAGATTGCTGCTCTTTCAACATTTTAACACCTCTGAAATCTGAGTACATGGTGTGTATCACAGTTTAACTTTCAGCATTTTTTCTTAGTGATAGGTAAAACAATGGCACATCTTACAATCAATAGCAGTTAGGTTTCAGAAAATACGCTATGTACAAGGAGTCATGGAAGTATTGTTTTTAATAGGAGAAAACTGGTAATCACCTAGCTAGAAAATGCATTAATTTGTACCATGACACATTGTTCAGTCCATCTCATGATATCAAAGCACAATTATTGCTCATGCAAAATAGGTGAGGTCTGATGAAAATGTAAACAAGATTGTTCCACACTTTTCACACTTACAAGATTCTCTCCCTTGTCATCAAAATTTGGTTGAAGTAACCCCTCAGGAGCTGGGGACTGTTCAAGTAGCAGGGGACTGAGGGTACTTAAATCCTTTTTACGAACCGGTGTTTCTCCTTTACGCAACGGAGTGTTTGCTGGCAAAGATTCATCAAACACTTCAGGGCTTAGGTCCTCTCCGAAAGTAACTCTCTTCCTCTTCCTCACATTTAGAGAGTCTGGTACTGTACAATTTTCTTGACCTTCTATTAGATAATAAATGGGAATATATTTAAAAACTAAACTACATTTCTTATCTAAAAGACATATCCTAGAATCTTTTCACATGATTGCATCTGGCTATTTGTATAACACAAAACATAGTTTGTACAGAAAAAAAGTTTAAAGTGGAAAAGATAAGCAATATTTCTAATTAAAATATGGTCATGGATTTTAAAGTAAATTCTGCATGCCTGTCTTAAAAGATTACAAAACTGAACATCAATTTCCTTACAAGTTTCACATTAAGCAAAAAGGGATAGATGACATGGGTGGAACCAATTCTGAAACTTCAACAGAGGGTCCATCCCTCCCAACTCTTCTTCATTCCCATGTAACTTCAGAAGCATCAGGCATTAGTAGATCATTGAAAATACTACATACTACCTCAGGTTTTTTTCATAACAAGCAAATGATATCTTCAGGCTTCAAAATAAATCTGAATTTCTTACCTGCTTTTCGTTCTTTGCAACAGTTTGCAAGATTTAAGATTAAGCTTGGATGAGTCCCACCATCACAAAGGTTGTCATGGTGTTCCTAAATAAAATAAACACTGATGAATAATTTTACATATATAAATACATACACACAGACATTAAGAACGACAACTTCGAATTTTTTTCCTGCCAAGGGTAGATATTACATAGTACTGCAGATTACCTTTACTTTCATAGTTGATCTGACTTAAAATGTCATGATATTAGCCACAATGAAAAACTGGGTTCCTTAGCTATCATAATACTTTAGTAAATAGTTTTAGGCCAAAATTAAAGAACAGAAATTCACAATGTGGGCTAAATTCATTCCCTCATTCTTGACCTGGCAAGTGACTTGAAGGAAAATGTGAATGGCCAGAATTACAGTGTACTCTGGATGGTGTCAAACGAGATAGACTATATAAATGGTCTAAAGTATAAGAATTCCACTACAACAAGAAGAAAACAAATATGTACATGGCATAATAGGGTGTTTTGTCTTTTAGACATGGGAACCACACCTTTTATAAGTGTATAAATCTCCAGTCTACGATACTATATTCCTGAGTCAGAACAAGCAAAGAAAGTAGCATTTGTCCTTCTGTGCTTCTCCAGAAGAAGATTATAGAGTAAGCAAGTTGGTGAGGAAAGGACAATGTGAATCCTGAAGAACAGGAGGGGCAAGCCCAAACACAGGGCCACTGGAGCAAAGTGGGCGAAAGCCAGGGCTGTGGGTGGCTGAGAGGCACCTCCAAATCACCATCTGTTTGTCCCGTCTCATCCTAAGCCCTGACCAGCCCTTGTTCTCTAGAGCTGGTCATTTTCTCCAGCACACCCATCACAAGAGCAGCCCCTTCTCTAAGAAACAGTCCTGCCCTAAACAAACCTCCTTCATCAAGCATCTCCTGAGACTCAGCTTCATTTTCCCAACCAGGAAAATGCTCACATCAGTATTTGTGAAATAAGTGAACTTATACGACAAAGTTCATGTTAACGTTTAGATTTACTTTTCATTATTACCATGAAAGTTATCCAACAACTCAAACAGAATACACTTGCAAGCTTTGGGCAGCTTAGCAAGAAGACCATTAGTTGTGAAAGTCTTCATATGATTTTAGTGGCAGGACTTGATGTTTCTGCTACATTAACACTGTTAATTGATAAGAGTTACACAGATCATTAAGATGCTAAGCTAAGTATCTTCTTTGAGGAGAAGATAAAACAAATAAAAGATAAAAATGAGCAGTGCTGTATAGAAACCCAAATCAAGCTCTTTAACCAGAAAAATTGTTAAAACATTTAAAAATAACAACTGACCATATATCCATGTAGACAGAAGGTAGTCTAGTTCACTTTGGCTTTAAAGACAGATTTATAGGTATAGCTGTATGGTCAAGAACAACAACAAAATGTGTAATTCTCATTTGCCAGGCACTGGTGCTAACTGCACATTATTATCCTACTTTATGCTCAAATTACCCTGTAAGGAAGTTACTAATATTGTCCTTTTATAGATAAGGAAACCAGGATACAAAAAGTTTAACTAATCTACCTAGTTCTTAAACTTCAGCGTCAGCGAATGAAACCAGGCACTGTGACCCCAGAGCCGTCCTCTCAACCTCTCAGAGTGTTTACAGCCCGTCATGGATGTTTAACATCAGATTCGTCTGGGTTCATTTAACAACTTCAAGCCCGAGTTTATGTAAAATGGGGCTAATACCTTTCTTGGATACTGCTGCTGCACGTACATCATATATTCCAGAACCTTCACTGGAATTACTCAATAAATGCCAGCTAGTTCTCATCAACCTACTCTCTTCTCATACTAGCTCAACTTAAAGATGCTCGCCTGTAAGAGGTATCTTGAAAAGCAGATATTTTTGGTGGAAATAATTAACAAACTCACACATTAATAACTTACGAAACTCTTATAAAATATGGTCTACCTATATTAAATTCAACATACTATATTCCAAACTGAGTTAAAAAAAAAAAAAAGACATTTCCTGTTAGGCCAGTATTACATAACATTTCAGAGGTATTTCTTTGAACCAAAATGAATTTTTATTCAACTTGCTTTAGGAAATGTAGCTCTACACTGACCTGCAGGCTGTCTAGAAACAGCTTTGCAGAAGGTTTCTTCAGCACAGAACGAAGTACAAAGGTCTCAGAGGATGGAATGTCCCTCTGGCACAGTGGAGTAACCAGTGACCTGGCTTCAGGAGCCACGTCTGTACTCACTTCTGTAAATTTGTCAACTGAAACCGCATCGCTGGATCTTTTGCCCTCTACAGGGTCAGCGACCTGGATTCCTTCAACACAGAGGTGTAAACAAGAGAGGTGGCAGACATGTGAGTCAGTCTGTTCTACAATATAAGTAGTAAGTATTTACAAAAGGAATAACAACGTTTTCAGAAATTCAACCCTAAGATATCCTGCTTCAGGAGTAGCATCTGGGATTTCACTTGGAGACATAAAACAAAGAGAAGCGGCACTGGCCACAGCTTTTATTTCAAATCTGACCACTGAGGGCAACAGTGAGTAAGGTGTCTTGGCTCCACGGAAATCTAAGAAGGCCCCCACGGCTCAACTATTAACTGTTAATCTGCTTCCACTCACGACACCTACAGTCTGCACCATGAAACTAACTTGAGCCAGACAATGAATCATGACTGATTTTATTGGTGGAGTCAGAGGCATTTTCAGCATGCAAGGGTACTGGGAGGGAAAGGACAGAATGCTGAGGAGAACGACTATCAAATAAAAAAATGAACATGTTGTATGTGCCCCCAAGCAAGGCAAGGCTCCCCCCCTGCAAATTCTCACAAGAGAGCATTGCCTGATGACTGACATTTAACAAATATATACTGGGCGCTTAAGGTGTGACAGGCACTTTGCAAGAGATATAAACACCACAGATAAAGCCCCCATGGCCTCAGAGGACAAATAGACAACATAAAATATAGTAACTGGGGGGCATAGAGGGAAGGAGGTAGCTGTGCCTGTATAAAAGGGTAGCATGAGGGACTGTGTGATGGGACTGCGATATATCTTGGCTATAGTGTGGTTATGTGAGTCTACACCTGTGATAAAATCATGGAACCAAATATACACACAAACGTGTGCATGCAACACTGGTGAAATCTGACCAAAAAGGTCAGTGGATTGTATCAGTGTTGATTTCCTGCTCGTGCACTGTATTACAGTTATGCAAGATGTTACCACTGGGGAAACTGGGGGAAGGGTGGACAGGCTTTCTTCCTATGGATTCATTCTTACACCTGCATGTGAATCTACAGGCATCTTAATATAAAAATTAAAGAAATGTATATATAATAACAAGCAGTAACCCATGCCATTAAGGAGAATAATGCAGAGATAGGGTTAGGGTATGGGAGGGGTGGAGGTGAGTTCAAGGACAGCCTGCTGAGCAGGCACCTGAACACAGTGAGGAAGCGAGCCGCACGTGTGTCTAGGGAAGGTTATACATACGCTCAAAGCCAAGTGCAAAGACCAGTGACAGGAGTGCCCCTGGCGTATAAGACGTGGGGCAAGGCCAGAGTGACTGGAACAGAGCCAGCAAGAAGACAGCTAAGCCACAAGCTCAGAGTCAAGGCTAAGGACCAGGTCAGGTGCGGCCTAGTAGGAAGTGGATGGACTGGATTCTATCCTAAGTATGCTGGAAGGCCAGTGAGAGATTCTGAGGGGACTGACATAGTGTGACTTGCATTTTATTTATTCTTTTGTTGTTGTTTCTGTTTGAAGGGTAACAGGTTTTTTTTTATAGCCGTCAGTATTTAGAGGGGTTATTTTTCTTCCCTCCAGTTTTATTGATACAAGGTGTGCAGCATAATGATCTGACTTACACGCACCACGAAGTGATGACCACAGTCAATCTAGTGAACATCCACCACCTCATACAGATACAACACGAAATAGAAAAAAATTTTCCCTTGTGATAAGAACTCCTAGGATTTGCTCTCTTTTTTTTTTTTGCGGTACGCGGGCCTCTCACTGCTGTGGCCTCTCCCGTTGCAGAGCACAGGCTCTGGACGCGCAGGCTCAGTGGCCACGGCTCACGGGCCCAGCTGCTCCGCGGCATGTGGGATCTTCCCAGACCGGAGCACGAACCCATGTCCCCTGCATCGGCAGGCGGACTCTCAACCACTGGGCCACCAGGGAAGCCCAGGATTTGCTCTCTTAACACCTTTCATATATACCATACAGCAGTGTTCATTATATTTATCATGTTGTACATGACATCCCTAGTACTTATTTATTTTATAACTGGAAGTCTTTACCTTTTACCTGCCTTCCTCCAATTCACCCTTCCCCCTTCCCCCTTCCCCGGCCTCTGGTAGCCAGAAATCTGAGCTCTTTTTTCTATGTGTGTGTTTGTTTTTGAAGTATCCCACTTTATAAGACCTCTTCCCTCTTCCTAAAGGTGCACCGTCTGAGATATAATAACCTCTGGGGTGCCACCAGATAACCAGCTTAAAATAAAACACTGGAACCAGCACTAGACTCCTTTAATCAAGGCCCCACAATGTATGGGAGATTTGTCTTTTCCTGTCTTATACAATGTTCCTGCTTAGGGCCTAGAGGGGTGTTAAAATGGGATACGTTGGCCCTTGTGATGTTCCCAAGAAGACAGAGTGTACAGGGAGGTGTTAGGTATTATGACAGTTTTTAATGACCATACTTCATACATTCTATAACCACTGTCAAAGAATATGTCACTCCTAAGACAAAGTCCCATGAGAGTAAAGCAAGAGAACTGGTAAGAATTGCTGAAGGCAAAAGCCTCCTATTTCATCCAGGTAACAAACTCATAACCCTGCTCTCTGCCCCATCTATCCATCCATCTATCGCATGATTAAAATTAAGAAGTCAGAGCAGATGTGCACCACAAGAAATGCTGAAGGAAGTTCTTTTTCGGGTTGAAAGGAAATGATACCAGACAGAAACTTAGATCTTCAGCAAGGAATGAAAAGCACCAGAAATGGTACCTATCTAGGTAACTATAAGAGGCTATTTCCAATATACACATATTTCCCAATACACATGGTTGTTTAAACCAAAAAAACCTTATCTTGTGGGGTTTAAAATGAATATAAATATAGTATAGATGACATCTATAGTGTAAAAGGACCATAAAAGACATGGGTGGGAGGAGAGGTAGTAGATCTGTACAGTTTGTAAAGTTTCTGTATTTCACCTGAAGTTGTACAATATTAGCTCTAAGAAGGCTGTGAAAATCTAAGGATGTATATACCACAGTCCTTACAGTAACCATTAAAACAAAAAAAAACAAAAGATGCAATGAGGTATAGTTTAGAAGGTAATGGATAAATAGATTTCTAAAATTTCAAATAAGCCCACAGACGAGAGGAGGGAAAACAAAAAATAGAACAGAAAATACGTGAAAGAAATGGCAGATTTAGGGAATTCTCTGGTGGTCCAGTGGTTAGGACTTCACACTTTCACTGCTGAGGGAGTGGGTTCAATCCCTGGTCAGGGAACAAAGATACTGCAAGCCGTGTGGATAAAATTTTTTTTAAATGGCAAATTTAAATAAAACCATTTCAATAATGACTTGAAAGGTTAATGCACCAAATATGCCCATTAAAAGGCAGAAATTCTCAGGATTGACAAAAAAGCAAGGGCCAGTTATACATATACAAGAGTTTTACTTAAAGATAAAGACACAGGTATGTTGAAAGTAAACCTAATACCTTATGGTGACTTTCATTCAATACAAGCATATTGAATGCCAGTCCCTTTTCACACACTTAAAACCCAAAAAAATCATGTGTAGTGTTTTCTCTAACAAAATATACTTGTTAAATGTTTAGAGATCCTATTCTTTCTTTTTCTATTGAATATAGTTCCCTGTGCTATACAGTAGGACCCTGTTGTTTATCTATTTTATATATAGTACTGCGTATCTGT